CGTGTGCGTGTGCGTGTGCGTGTGTGTGTAGCAATATGGCAATAATAAAAAAAACATGTGGGTGTGCACGCAAACGTACTGAGGGCGTTGTCGTCGAGCAGGCACGCCTCGTCGAGGCAGTTGTCGGGACTCCCGCGCCACAGCGCCACTTTCACGTTGCGCGCGTCCACGAGCGCCTTGTTGCGCACCGTCACCGCCACCTCGACCACCTCGCCCTCCTCGCGCGGCACCGCCGGCGTTGCCACCATCTCCTTGGTCAGCATCGTGCGGTCGCGCTTGAACGTGGTCCACCACCAGGGCAGGTTGAACGCCGGGTCGGGCTTGCTGTAGGTGCGCTCCCACCACGTCGACACGCCCGGGTAGTAGCCCGGCTCGGCCGTGTAGGCCACCTTGAGGTACCCGTGCCCGTCCGGTGCGCGCGCCATCCACACGAAGGGCTGCACGCGGTACGCGAACTCCGGGTTGATGGGCTCCACGTGGCACACCACCGACACGTCGCGCTCGATCTCGGCCGTTCGCGTTTGCGATGCCTCGTCGTCGTCGCTCCTGTCCTTCGAGCCATGGCCTTGAGCGTGGATGTTGATGAGGTCGGGCGTCGAGAAGATCATGCCCACGCCCATGAACGACGCCATGAACTGCGATGTGATGTGGATTTGATGACAGCACACTGGTCAGCGCGTTGCACCAGGATCGGCAATGTATAGACACGCCAATAAAAGCCAATTTTCGGGTGCGTGCGTGGGTGGGTGGGGCGCAAGGCAGTCAGACTGCCGACCTACCTTGGTGTGCAGGTCGACATTCACGCCCAACGAAAAGCTCTCGTCGTGCGTGGTCGAGTTGTGTTCGCCCCCGACCTTTCTTTCTGATTTGCCCGTGCTCTGTGCCACCGATTGCTGTCGTTGTTGTTGTGTACATTCCACACGAGAGTGAGTGTGAAGAAGAAGAAGAAAGAAAGAAAGAAAGAAAGGAGAGGGCATGCAGGAAGAGCGGATTAGTAAGAGTGCTGAGAGAGAGGAGAGAGGAGAGAGAGGCGGGACCTGGTGCTCGTTGGGGCCGAGGGTGACCTTCTCGCCCACCATGATGCGGTTGGCCGGGTTGAAGTCTTCGGGCGCGCGCGACGAGTAGGTGAGCACGTTGAAGGGCTCGTGGTCGGGCGTGAACCACCACAGGTCGCGCCCGTCGCCCTTCTGCACGCAGTCCTCGCCGCAGCTCGACGACGCCCAGATGTCCAGCGACCCGACCTGCGCGCCGTTCTGGTCCACGATGGGGAACTTCCACAGGTCGCGCGTCGTAGACATGTACAGCACCACGTCGTCGCCCGACGCCACCAGGTCGCGCGACACCGAGATCTGCTCCATCGTCGACCGGCCCAGCTGCCTCCGCCCGCTTCTTCATCCCCTGAGCTTGCTCGGCCACGTTGGCCGCCACAGCCACCACCTTGGCCCGCACGCTCACCTGGCCAGCAGTAGCACCACCACCACCACCACCACCACCACCACCACCACCACCACCACCACCACCACGTGGTTGGGTTAGGTCAGCTAAGATTAAGTAAGAGTGGAGGTGGTGGGGCCAAACGCACTCCAGCGGTTTGGCCGTTGACGTGGACGAGGTCGCGCGAGATCTCGAACGACGACGTGACGCCCTCGGCGTTGGAGAGCCGCGTGAAGGAGCCGAAGCCGTTGAAGGTCATCGGGTTGACCACCACCTCCTTGCCGTCGACGATGTCAAAGTGCGTGGGCGGCGCGTTGATGACGGCGATGAGCTCCGGCACGCTCTCGAAGCGCACCTTGATCGACTGGCCCACGCGGTAGCCCAGGCCATACAGGTTGCCCACGCTCAGCGCCATGTTGTTGACCGTGCCGGCCTCCACATCCTCGCCCCGCTGGTAGGCCGGCCCCGCGTAGCACTGCCGCCCTGCGTGTGTGTGTGTGTTTGCGTGTCAATTTTTCTCAAATATCTGCCATGGATGAGAGAGAGAGCGAGAGAGAGAGAGCGAAGGTAAGCTCAACGAACCGTTGAGAAGGAAGGGCCGATCGGGGTCGGGCTGCGCCGTGAGGCTGGTCAGCATAACCTTGTGCACCTCCGAGGTCATCGTGGACGAGTACTCAAACGCCACCAGCAGCTCGTTGGCGTAGCTCTCGTCCACGTTGCCTGGTTCATGAGCCATCGTTATGTTATTGGTGGTGGTGGTGGTGGTGGTGGTGGGCCGTGGGCCGTGGGCCGTGTGCCAAAGGGAGCAGACCAGCAGGCCCTCCTCACAACCGAAGCACGGAGAGAGCCATAGAGCACAGAAAAAGAGAAAGAGAGAGAGAGAGAGAGAGGGGTACCAATAGCCAGCTTGATCTCGGGACTCCTCGTGGTGGTCATCGCCAGGGTGGAATCATCCGGGACCGTGGGTCCGCTGGGCAGCGTGAAGGCAAAGTTGCCCACCAGGTCGAGACACTCCAGCCGGAAGCACGTCGCGCTGTCCACGCGGAACACCTCGGCTTGGCTGCCGCTGCCCGCCGTCGCGCTGGTGAACGCCACCACGATCTCATCGTCGCCGTCGTTGTTCATGTCGCCCGACACCATCCGCAAGCTGTGTGCCAAGTGTGTGCCGTGTACCGTGTGTCGTGTTGCGTGTGTAGTGAGTGTGACATCAGCGACGGCGGCCGTGTGGTGGTGGTCGTGGTGGGTGGGGGTGGGTGGATGGGTGGGTGGGTGAATGGGTGAAATGGTGGATGGGCGTACTTGTATTGGGCAGTGTCCCACCAGGGCGCCTCGGCGATGAGCAGCGTCTTCTGGAGCGTCATGTTCAAGGCCACCGTGAGCTGGTCGATGGCGTAGAGGTAGAGCGTGACCTCGTTGTCGTCGACGATGCCCAGCGCCAGCTCGGCCAGGCCCGAGCCCTCGTAGTCGCCCAGATTGACCGCCACGGCGTGCGGCTGCCGCAGCGAGACCAGCGAGTGCGGCACGTCCGACAGCATGGCCGCCGACGACTGCGACGTCTGCCGGAAGAGCGCCCACGAGACCGTGCTCCGATCGACCATCCACGCCACCGCCAGCTGTGGTGTGTAACCCGGGTCGTGTGTCATTTGGTCGTTGTTGT